TTATATTTTTCTATAAAAACGAATTGATATTAGCCGAATTATTTAAAGGTGTTTAGTAGTAGTTAGTGAGATTTATGAACTTTAATGACGTCATTTAAATTGAGGAAAAACATCTGTTATTTTAATACAAAATTTTTCACAAGTGACCAAAAGATGGTAAAAAGTAGTTTGTATAGTTTAGTATAAGAAATATTCTTTGACAAAAACACTAGATATATAAAGTCCTTCCAGTAAAGTTGACACGCGATCTGGAATTCTATTTAAAATTGATATTAAAGAAAATATCTTGTAAATGCTATACCTGTGCGACGCCAAAACTATCTTCGGGTCCTAATATGTTATAAATTGATTCCGTCAAATTGGGATGTACCGTCAATACTTCTACCTATATGATTAAAAACTAAATTAGGTTTTTTTTGGGGGCAAACGGGCGGGATAAAGAATTCTAGAAATAACTATATAATCGATATTTTAACTTGGTTAAACATAAAAATTATATAATTATACATTAATAAATTCATGTCTTAGGGCCCTCCAAGAAAAGAGCGTACCAATTCTTAAAAGGACGGCAACGCACTTGCGAGCCCTCTGCCATTGAGTGTCCATGGGCGACGGTATCACTTAACATCGGATGAGCCCCTGGCCGTTTGCCTGCACTGTTCTATAAGAAAAAAACTTACTGAATACTGAATTTTTCATTAACCTGGATAATAGCGTAATCGTTACCATTGCGATGTTTCTGGCTGGCTAATTCTTAGCCCATTCGTACCATAGAGTCATTATTTGGCAGAAATAAAAAAGATGAAACATATCACATAAAAATATATCTTTTAAAATTTTGTCCCTACTCTCATACATCGTACTTGTTGTTTTACATGAAACTTTGGAAAACACCATCAAAGTTGTGGTATGCCTACGCCTAACTGACAGTTTAGATAGTTTCGTTTCGAGTTTGAGAGTGGCAGAAAGTGGAATTAAATTTAAATTACCAGTCAACAGGCTAGGCAAGTAATGAAATGTCATCGATCCAAGTCATTTGCCCGCTAGTTAAACGGCTAGGCTATGTTAATTGAACGGCTAATTAAGTTAGTTGACTGTGACATATATGTAAAGCGCGTTTCAAGGTTTGGCGGAAATATTCTTAATCTTAGGAAATATTCCCTCGTTTCGCCTTTGTGGAATTGGGCTAGGTAATTAATTTAGAGTCCTGCAATTTACTTCTAACGTTTACACGTTTTAATATTACTATTAAAACAATTCATGACAGGAGCATATGTTAATTTAATCTAAACGAATATTTGGAGTTTTTTATTTAAAGATAAAAAAAATAATATATGAATGATATATATATATATGTATTATTATTGTATATTTTCCCCGTTTCATCTCCTCGGACAAGCAAAAAAGCTGGGGCGGCCGCAGAGCAGGCGAATAATAATAAATGGCTTAAAAATAAGAGTCTGTTTCCTTTGGAGTAGAGACTCTTGGACCGTGGGGTTCAAGTGCATTTGGAAGATTTAAGTTTAGGCGCTTGGTAGATAGTACCGGTGACGCCAGAGCTGGTGCTTTCCTGGCTCAACGAATAAGTATCGCATTACAGCGAGGAAATGCTGTCAGCGTTAAAGGTACACTGCCACAGGGTCCAAAATTTGTTTTAATTTTCTTTTTATTAATTTTTACTATGCAGGTTAAGAAAATTTTAAATACTGTATATTTGATTGTTATAATTTGTACTACTAATAAACATATTAGCTTAAATTAGTAAAAAAACATATAATAACGAAACTTATAAAGAACGAAAATAGGACACTTAAAGGATCTACTGTGGTGAAATAAAACTTCCTAAACGGCTAAAAAGCGAATTTTTTAATAAAGACCCCTATGAAAACATATACTGTGTTATTGATGGGTACAAAGACTTCATATTAATTCCGCCCACTGACTTGCCTTACGTCCCATATAAGAAGTATTGTAAGTTGAACTACCTTGGATTTGTATAGGTATGTTATTCATTAGATTAAAGAATTTTAACTTTTTGTTATGGTTATAATTATGTTTAATGAAAGTCCATTTCGTAATTATCTACAGACTACCAATCACCTAAATAATTTGGAGTGGTTCCTACCTACACGATCTATAACAAAATCACAAATACATAACAGTTATATTTTGTTTGATGTTTAATTTTTTTTTATAAAAGGTATGAAATCTAAAGTCTACGATTGTGCTCTTTTGTTATTGAATATTTCCTATTAGCCAGGGTTTGAAATGTTCCATATGTGATATGAGTACAATTTTTAACAAGCTGTAACCGATGTTTTGACAGCTTAAAATGAACTTCAAAGATTCTAGTTCGGAAATACTTCAGTGGGCAGCTGGTTAAACATAGTGGTGGTGCGCGGCAAAAACTCCTTAAAAAACGATCAGTTGTGGAACAACCGACGCGGTCGAGGTGATAAGGATGGAATTTCGTATTCTGCCTCGATGTCCGATGATCAAACTCAGGTATTAATCCAAACAACTCCTCTGAACACTCATTGTCAGAGGGTCATTTATTTTATATTTAAGGTATGAGTACTTGCGAAATGTTTCATTGCAGTGCCAGTCTAAATTCAAATTCAAATTAAATATGTGAAAAAGATTAAAAAAACAGAAAAACTAAAATCCTAGCCGTTTTTAATTCCGTGAATACTGCACCAGACACACGTTACACGCGTATAATTTTTAAAACATGCATATTAGTTTCAAAAGAAGTAAGATAAACAAGCTCCGTTTCCCGAAACAAAAGCGATCCAGTTTTATTGCCATTTCTCTTGTCTGTGTCCACCTATTATCTAACAGCTATAAATGTCACAATAAAGTGAGTTTTTACTACGTTTTAGTAACTTTATTACGATTCGGCCTAAAAAGATGTGCAGTACCAGAAGCTTTCTCAAATATAAATTGTATTATTGAAATTGGTACATACTTATAAAGATGGATATTCTTCATAGGAAGTCCAACAAACTCCATTCTTAACGCATTTTTAGTACACAAAATGAGACATTAGCAATCTTGTTAGAACATTAATTATACACAGCTTATATAAGTGTGTAGAAATTGACAGATTTTCATTGTGTAATATTCTATGAATATTAATTTAGAGCACTAAAAATAAATTTTTATGGTTATTTGTTTTTAGTTATGCAAATGCTTTCTATATATAAAAATGCCGAATATGTTTGTATGTACATATCTTAATTTTTTCAAAATGTTTATATGTTTTTTTAAACGACTGTGATTTTTATATAGAATGGAACTTGACTGTATATACTGAATAAGGACTTTTTCCATATTATATATATCTGCAACACTATGTGAGACCCGATCCTCTCGAGGAAGGTTCAAATGATTGGTTAGTCTACACACAAAAACTTACTCGGCTATCCCAAGGAATCATTACATAATGCGGAAAATGGATATTAAAAATAATCAAATCTTTAATATATATATTATAGGCATACACTTAATAGATGAAACAAAATCATGCAAGTCGATAAAATAGGCAACATAAAATCCACGGCATGCATTCGTTGTGATTTTAAACTCTAAGCAATCCGGAATACTGATTGTTCTTGTATGACCTATAAAATAGTCTTGAATTAAATCTGATCTCTTATTGGAACCCTAAACTGTTGTTTAGGGTTCAACATGTGAAAATACATACACACAGGTTGCACAAAAGAAATTCACCAAAATCTTCCAAATAGCTTGGAAGTGTTCAGTGAACACGGAAAACGTACAAAATTATGTATATACACATCATAGTTTACCGATTCGATGGCAGCCTGGTTTTCCATGATTCAGTAGCATACCGCCCATTGAAACTCTCCAATACCTAGTGCGAGTACCTAAAATATTAACATTATTTTATATTGATTAGGTCTTAACTAGTTGACCCGGCGAACTTCGTGGCCGCCCTAACGTGACAGTTACGGGAAACCTATGAACGTTTTGTATTGAATTCGTTTTTTACTTTACTTTCCAATGTTTTGAGACATATACTACAAATAAAAAACGACACGACTTTTTATCGACTTTGTTTTATATATTAAGATTACATAATATTTCTAGCCCTTTTACACCAATCGTGGTTGGTTATTAATTAAACAGTTTTTAACGAAGTATGTTCATAAATGTATCAAAAATATGAATATTTTTATTAGAAGGAATCCTAAGCCGCCGACTATGATTTGGGTAAGGGTAATGAGTCTGGAATTAACCGTAAGGTCGTACAATGAAAGGTTACCGCACGACATCTGATAGCATGGTTTACGAATTTTGAGGCGGCAGGTACTGTCGAGTACATAATACTCGTACTTGGTACATTCACGTAGACAATTTATATCCTAAGATCGGAATGTCATTCATTTTGGTCAGAGTTACATAAATATAATTTTAGATCTCAATTAACTTGTATCAGCCTGTCTAATGTAAAGGTTTAAGTTAAAGAAAGTAATTTTATTAAATCATTCTAATCGTAATCGTAAAGTATCACAAAACTTTAAAAAAAAATTAAAATACTTTGACGCATTTCCGGCAGCTAAAATCACTTGGAGGTGTTCCAATCAAGGTCCCCCCGAGACTCCCGATTAGATCCTCAGAACCCGTTATGGATATTTAGATAAATAATTTCTTACAATAAGTATCATCCATCCAGCCTTTCGTTTCCTCGAAAGGCCAATTTCAATTCAGGAGTGACTTTTAAGCTTTGCATTTTGCATACTAAGGGAACTTTTACTATTCAAAAGGAATTGAGCGAGTACATAATACACGGAAATTATGAAAAAATCGACCAATTAGTTTGTAATAACGGAATATAAGCCACATGTTTTCAGATAATTGGTAAGGCATAATGTCCGTGTAGGACCTGCAATTTGCGGGCAAAAACCACAATGACGTCATACCCTGAATCACGCTACTAAAGTGCTTCCGTTGAGCATTTGAATAACATCTAGACTTCAACAACTGGGGCTTTCGGGCCGCACAGTTGTTAGACATGTCGAGAACATTCCCCGTAGATTAGCGAAACAATACACCTTCCCTTCCTCCACACCTGTATCGATTCACAGAGAATAAATAATTTCTGGTGTTGGAACACATTATCACGAGGGCTTATGATAAAAAAAGTCAGCAGAAGACTCAGAAATGTGTACCACTGCCCTACTGACTGTTTATAGGACTTACACACATACACAGCTACTCTATTGCCGTTTATTTTAATAATAAAAATAGGCAACTAAACAATTTAAAGGTAGTATTATCATTAGGGTACATATAATTATAACGTTTTATTTAAGCGACTTAATGCAATATTTAAACAGAAAAGGGTGTAGGAGTTAAGTGTGTGTAGTGGGTAAGGGTGTAATTTTAAATAAATATTATGATTATGTTAATATTGATGTACTACGTATTCTTTATTGTAAGTTAATTCATATATAAAAATAAAAATTGAGAATTTAATATTTTTTTACCCTACATAGTACTCATAATTAAAAATAGAAAACTAAAACCAAATTACAAAAGCTTGGTCCCTGTGGCCGTACCTTTAATGCTGACAGCATTTTTCCGTGTATTGCCATACTTATTCGTTGAGCGAGGAAAGCACCAGCTCTGGGGTCACCGGTACTATCTACCAGGCGCCAATTTTTTTTTTAATAAGAGCCTTGTACACAAGAGACTCCAAAGGGAACAAAATCAAAGTTGGACTCTTTAAGCCGTTTAATATTTTCCGCCTGCTCTGCCACGCTACCTTTTGTTTTGTCAGACAAAGACTGATCCAATGGCTGTCAAGAGAACTTCAATTAAAATTTGCTTTAACATTTCTTGAACTAAAATGTTTTAACTAAGTACAGAATTAGTTATTTAGTTTGAAATGGTAGGTAGCGTCATGATATTTTAATTTTATTTCTCAACTACACGAGCACCGAAAATTATGACACAATACAACTTCGAAAAAAAATTAAACACTGCAACGGCCCAATCGCTAATAAGTGATTGCCTCCAGTAAACCCAAATTCTCTAATAAAAACCTCTGTCGTACCCTCTTGAAAATCTAAAAATGTTCAGAGCTACAATGTCGCTAGTTCCACCCGGAGGCACGGACTCCCCAAGTCCACGTCGCGCCGTCAGCCCATTGTTGGAGTCCCGAAGACCGCACTGTCAATATGTGAACCCATTAATCCTGGATATTTTTTTTTTTAGAAAGCCTTTTGAGCCTGGGGCACGTCTTTTGAAGACCCAATATCATGGCGTAAAAGGAAGTTGTAACTGCATATTTGAGAAATATAAAAATCATATTAAATTATAATTTAATGATAAATTTTTCCAGAAGCAACTTCACGAAATCTAACCTGTCGTGTTCAAGCGCCTGCATCATGGCTTCGTCAAGTGCACCTAAAATTATATGACTAATTAAAAAGATTCTTTGAATAAAATCAAGTTTACATAAGAAAAATTATTTATGACCCAGCATTTTACGTGATACGACTAAAGTGTCCCACTGCCTGCCACTCCTTCCCACCGATAACGTTGTCTGACCTACAAGTAGTAAGTAGTATAGTATATAGTCGGCTATATACTAGATATAGAGCAGTGGTGGCCTAGTGGCTTCAGCGTGCGACTCAAATATCTGAGGTCGTAGGTTCGATCCCCAGCTGTGCACCAATGGATTTTCTTTCTATGTGCGCATTTAATATTTGCTCGAACGATGAAGGAAAACATCGTGAGGAAACCGACATGTCGTAGACCCAAAAGTCGACGACGTATGTCAGGCACTGGAGGCTGATCACCTACTTTCCTATTAGATTTAAAAATGATCATGAAACAGATTCAGAAATCTGAGGCCAATACCTAAAGAGGTCGTAGCGCCACTGATATATTTATTTTATTAGATATATCATAAATTAGTATTTTTATGAAACGATGGACAAACGTTTTGCGTGAACAAAAGATCGTTGTTTTGGTCGGCTTGTCACGTTTTAAGAAATTTCTAGAACAAAACAGCAGGATAGTTTAATTTACGGTTTTAGCTATCACTTCGTGGAAGCTTGTTCATAAAATTGCAATAACAGAAATAATAACGTGATTCTAAATAACTATGTTGGAAAAAGTAACAACGTACACAAAAGAACATGATTCTTCGGACCTATAAACCTAAGATCGTGACTACTTCCGCCGTAGATAAATTACGTCGTAACCATTGTTTTACCTTAATTACTAAAATTTTGCTAATTGAAGCAAAAATTTACGGACAAGTACATGGCGATTTAAGTGCGCAATTAGGAAAATAAGAACTCAACGTTATATTTCTATACAACCTTACGCTTACGTAACATCATACAAATAACTAAGATGTATTTATATATATTTCGTTGCAAGAAAAACAGTACAATTAAAATAGTTAAATAAAATGGGGGCATCTGGCAGTTCCATTCAAACAAGTGCAGTACTACATAAGATATACAATTACTTACATAAATATACATAAAGAATGGAACAAAACAAAGCAATTAAAACATGAACGAACTACAAATATCATACAAACTGATATGAACTATAATTTACATTGGTTCGACCCTATCATTATATTTCGTTTCTTACTACCTAATATTTAAATACTAAATGGAAAAATTTATAAATTGCAAAATTCATTAAGTTCTGTTTCCAAGTTTTATAGAAGTCAGACAAAAGCAATTCGTTAATATTCTGATAAGCTTTTATATTTTACACCCTTTGTCTCCATTCAAATGAACACAAGGACTTAAACATATAATGAAATATAAAATGTAATTAAAAAAATATTAAGGTAATATGCATTTTGATAAAACTATAAAAACTTAGGTTAGAAGTACAGTACGGCCTTAGATCGTAAAATATTATCTTGGTTCGGTTTACTTTCCGTTTGCCTTTATATGCAAGCAGATAAGTTTTCTGTTCCTGCCAATTAGAAAAAAATCAGGAGTCAAACTAAGGACCTTAATAGGCCGTTAAGCGATGGTGAAATTACTAAGATAATGTATTAATTAAATTATACTCACCAACACTAGCACTGCGAATAATACAATGATCAACGGTGGGTGAGCAGTTGTCGGAGACCTCCAGACAGTAGTGCTTGTGGTGCTGCATAGTGCTTGTGGCATCTGGTGAGAATTTCAGGGTCATATGGCCTGCGTACGCGCGGTTGGCTCCCTCGGCGAATGTGAGAGTCGATTCGGCCTCGCGTTCCAATACCACTGATTCAGCTACGTTGCCGGGGAGAATAGAATAGCACAATGTTAATACTCGGAACAAACGCAGGCTGCCATTTCCCTGTACTAGACTATCTAAAGTTAGTCATTCTTTTTTGGGAAAAGGGATACTCTTCTTTAATAAAATCCCAGAGGCTCTTTTATCTCTGCCTTTTAGAATTTATTATAAATACATATATACTTTGTATATTTTTTGTATTTGTATAGGTGAAACTGTGATTTGTGTATGTTTAAATGTGTATTCCGTTCTTGGCTTTTGTGTACAGTGTAATTGTTTGAATATTGTTTAATAAGTAGCTGTAGGAATACCGTTGATCAAATAAATAAAAATAAATAAATTATACGTACATTACACATCAATTATCTTGGGACATAAATAAAATATTATAATTATATAAATATATTTTTTTTATGTTACAGGAGGCAAACGGGCAGGAGGCTCACCTGATGTTAAGTGATACTTCCGCCCATAGATACTCACACTCCAAAAGGCTCGCAAAGGCGCTGCAGACCTTTTAAAAATTGCTACGCTCTTTTCTTGAAGAACCTATTTAGGGCTCCTATTTCACCATGCTTTCTGCTGATAGAGGACAAATCTTTTTTTTTTATTATTAATTAACTATTAATTACTTAAGACGTCATGTGGAACATGGTGTAATGGTTGCAGCTCCTTACAAATATTGTGTAAAACAAAAAACTTGGCGATTAAAAAGAGTGGCGGAGAGTTTATTGCCAGTTCTTCTCTTCCGTTCTTCTATGATTTGAAAACAAACTTAGTAAATTTTAATGTTGATCTTTTTAGAGTTTTCAAGCGGTTTCGACACGTAAATCCCGAATTGATTCCTAAGAGCATGACCGAAAACCAAGCTCACAGTATTCTTGTACCAGTTGAAGAAATAGAAAAATTGCCTGAACTAAAAGTAAGTGAAACTTCAAGTTGAAACAAAAACTAGAAAAATTAAATCAGAATATTAGAGAATTGTGTAAATGAGTACTGAGTACTAAAAACATGATTTTATTATTTTAACAATGGTTGTACGATGGAAGAATTGGTTTGCAGGAAAATCCATTCAAGAGACGAATCTGCCAGGTTTTCTCTCATGATGGTTCTGGTAACCTCACATTTGAAGACTTTCTGGATATGGTGTCGGTGTTTAGTGAAGCCGCGCCACGGGATATTAAGGCATGGTTAGTGCATACATTAAATATTTATTTTAACTAATTCATATGCTTTCAATACGTATTAGGTTTAATCCTTATCCCTTTAAATAAAACCATAGGAGGAATAGCCTGGCCTAATGCATTAGCGCAAGAGACAACAGTGACATGCTCTGGTGCTACTAGATGTTCATGGCGTTCAGCCAAAACTTGTGGCCAAAAAAGTCGTAATGTAAATATGGCCAGTAGGTGGCCATATTTTCAGCTCCGACTTTTTTTTCTACAATTCACTTTAATTAATTAAACACATCAATAGTTTAAATAGTGGCCACAGGAATATGAAATATGATTTTCAATTATTTAGAAAATAATATTATAATAACAATACATCAATAAAATATCGAAATATAGGATAATAACTTGTAATTTTTATAACAGTGACACGTCATTCCCTTTTTGATGAATTTTGTCCGACTGGTCAGGTGCGGGGGCAACGGCGGGTATGCCGCTTAAATACCTACCGTATTGCCGAAAGTTTCGGGACTCTTTCAGTTTGTCTGAATGAATAAATTCCAAACTCCCGTTAAACGTAAATTAATCAATAAAAGTTTTTACAAATTTGACGATTAATTTAAATGATCCTCATCCTTGGGATTGATTTGCTCCAGTTTCAACAATTGGATTCAAATATTGGCGATTAAAAAGAGTGGCGGAGAGTTTCTCGCCAGTCCTTCTTGCCCGCTCTACCGCTCTACGCCCTTGACTTACGAACTGGTAGTAAATGTAAATTTAAAATCAATGTAACATCTTTTCTGTTGACGTTCATAAGTGTACTTGGTTACCTATATGAATAAAGTTATTTTGAGTTTGAAAAATAATAAAGTCATTATTACTTGTTATATAATAAAACATACGGAATCCCTAACGAAACTTCTTAATCTTAAGATTTAAGTGTAAGTCTTAGGATTTACCGACATGAGTTGGTAAATGTAAGTATTTCTGAAAATACGACGATTTTTTCGAGCTTTTACCATCCGAATTCAGTATATGCTAGGTTTTACCACTGTCAGCTGGTAGATGTTGGTTTTAGGAATAAAACAATGAGTAATTCTTAATTATTTACTTTAATGAACTATTAGACAAAACAGGTACATAGTATTATAAAGGTATCATATGATAGTAATAAGTACAAACTAATACCAACTTATTTAAATTATTTTGAAAAAAACTCATAACGTATATCTCTGAATATCTCAATCTCTATCATATCTATCTAACTGAATCAGTAGTTCTCTATTTGGAATTTAACAACGAAATACAAACATAATGCTTACATAAGCTAGTCTAACTTAATAATTATTTTTGTTTTTCAACATTTACCGTGCCATTAATGTAAATCCTAAGATTTACCAACGTAATGGTGGTAAGAGTTCGGATCGCAAACCTTTTTGGACATTTACCATTAGGAATTGGTAGATCTTAGGTTTTACTGGAGTTCGAGCTTTTACAGTAACATATATGCTCTTCTTTCAAAGATTGGCAGCGCACCCACTAAAATCAGTGTCCGTGGGCTGTGATGACTGCCTTTTTTGGACGTCCCGTCCCGAGCGTATCGAATAAAGAAAATCAACTTATAAGTTAATGCCTCGCTAATTCAACTAGGACAGGTTAAAGGCAGAGATTACTCACCGTTGGTCGTTATTTTAATTGATATTAAAATTAAATCGCCATGTAAACCCATCTTAACTTAAAGCCGAATACATTTAAAACATCTAAATAGCGTCAAGTACTATATCATTGTTGTAGCAAATACAAAAAGTAGGTCAATTTAAAAAATATATTAATTTGTTCCTTTTGCTTTAAATGTATTTTTTTTATTCCTGGCGTATTTGATAAACCAGTATGTACTTACTCTCTCTCTCTCTCCTTTGACACATGCTTAGAATATTTGCTTAAATAAAATGATAAAAAAACAATAAATTAACACTTTAACTCCACGTTTTTGACATACACAGCTCTCTCTTAGCGTGGACTTTGTGGGAAAAAATTAAATAAGCAACCACAAAATATAAAAACAAAAAACGAATTATAATAAACTTAAACCTCATTAAGACAATTATAAACAAAGTTACGGTAAGTTGGAAGATTGTTGTAAAATATATCAATATTTTCATCGATGTTAGTAATTGAGCTGTAAGAGCAAAGTAGGCACTTCTTTTTTTAATTTGCGCCTAATGAATGCTGTCTCCGACACTATCGACATCTTTATTTGTTCACTGTAGCGATATTGTGTATCTTATGTATTTAATATTATATATTTTATTACATTATACTTTCTTTCGACAATATCGTATTAGCTTAGTACTGTAAGGATATGTATTTCTATAAATAAAAAATAAACTTAAAATCACTCGCGAAACACACAAACAAATTAAGTGTCACTAAGACATACTATAATTTATCTAGTCACTTTGTACAACGTCGGTTCGTACTGACAGCAGCATGAGTAATACACATGAAACGTGTCACAGTAACGCACACATGGACATATTAACATTCGTCGGTGTGTTACTAACGAATATTTTTTTTTTAGGGATTCCGTATGTTTTATTATATAACAAGTAATAATGACTTTATTATTTTTCAAACTCAAAATAACTTTATTCATATAGGTAACCAAGTACACTTATGAACGTCAACAGAAAAGATGTTACATTGATTTTAAATTTACATTTACTACCAGTTCGTAAGTCAAGGGCGTAGAGCGGTAGAGCGGGCAAGAAGGACTGGCGAGAAACTCTCCGCCACTCTTTTTAATCGCCAATATTTGAATCCAATTGTTGAAACTGGAGCAAATCAATCCCAAGGATGAGGATCATTTAAATTAATCGTCAAATTTGTAAAAACTTTTATTGATTAATTTACGTTTAACGGGAGTTTGGAATTTATTCATTCAGACAAACTGAAAGAGTCCCGAAACTTTCGGCAATACGGTAGGTATTTAAGCGGCATACCCGCCGTTGCCCCCGCACCTGACCAGTCGGACAAAATTCATCAAAAAGGGAATGACGTGTCACTGTTATAAAAATTACAAGTTATTATCCTATATTTCGATATTTTATTGATGTATTGTTATTATAATATTATTTTCTAAATAATTGAAAATCATATTTCATATTCCTGTGGCCACTATTTAAACTATTGATGTGTTTAATTAATTAAAGTGAATTGTAGAAAAAAAAGTCGGAGCTGAAAATATGGCCACCTACTGGCCATATTTACATTACGACTTTTTTGGCCACAAGTTTTGGCTGAACGCCATGAACATCTAATAGCACCAGAGCATGTCACTGTTGTCTCTTGCGCTAATGCATTAGGCCAGGCTATTCCTCCTATGGTTTTATTTAAAGGGATAAGGATTAAACCTAATACGTATTGAAAGCATATGAATTAGTTAAAATAAATATTTAATGTATGCACTAACCATGCCTTAATATCCCGTGGCGCGGCTTCACTAAACACCGACACCATATCCAGAAAGTCTTCAAATGTGAGGTTACCAGAACCATCATGAGAGAAAACCTGGCAGATTCGTCTCTTGAATGGATTTTCCTGCAAACCAATTCTTCCATCGTACAACCATTGTTAAAATAATAAAATCATGTTTTTAGTACTCAGTACTCATTTACACAATTCTCTAATATTCTGATTTAATTTTTCTAGTTTTTGTTTCAACTTGAAGTTTCACTTACTTTTAGTTCAGGCAATTTTTCTATTTCTTCAACTGGTACAAGAATACTGTGAGCTTGGTTTTCGGTCATGCTCTTAGGAATCAATTCGGGATTTACGTGTCGAAACCGCTTGAAAACTCTAAAAAGATCAACATTAAAATTTACTAAGTTTGTTTTCAAATCATAGAAGAACGGAAGAGAAGAACTGGCAATAAACTCTCCGCCACTCTTTTTTAATCGCCAAGTTTTTTGTTTTACACAATATTTGTAAGGAGCTGCAACCATTACACCATGTTCCACATGACGTCTTAAGTAATTAATAGTTAATTAATAATAATAAAAAAAAGATTTGTCCTCTATCAGCAGAAAGCATGGTGAAATAGGAGCCCTAAATAGGTTCTTCAAGAAAAGAGCGTAGCAATTTTTAAAAGGTCTGCAGCGCCTTTGCGAGCCTTTTGGAGTGTGAGTATCTATGGGCGGAAGTATCACTTAACATCAGGTGAGCCTCCTGCCCGTTTGCCTCCTGTAACATAAAAAAAATATATTTATATAATTATAATATTTTATTTATGTCCCAAGATAATTGATGTGTAATGTACGTATAATTTATTTATTTTTATTTATTTGATCAACGGTATTCCTACAGCTACTTATTAAACAATATTCAAACAATTACACTGTACACAAAAGCCAAGAACGGAATACACATTTAAACATACACAAATCACAGTTTCACCTATACAAATACAAAAAATATACAAAGTATATATGTATTTATAATAAATTCTAAAAGGCAGAGATAAAAGAGCCTCTGGGATTTTATTAAAGAAGAGTATCCCTTTTCCCAAAAAAGAATGACTAACTTTAGATAGTCTAGTACAGGGAAATGGCAGCCTGCGTTTGTTCCGAGTATTAACATTGTGCTATTCTATTCTCCCCGGCAACGTAGCTGAATCAGTGGTATTGGAACGCGAGGCCGAATCGACTCTCACATTCGCCGAGGGAGCCAACCGCGCGTACGCAGGCCATATGACCCTGAAATTCTCACCAGATGCCACAAGCACTATGCAGCACCACAAGCACTACTGTCTGGAGGTCTCCGACAACTGCTCACCCACCGTTGATCATTGTATTATTCGCAGTGCTAGTGTTGGTGAGTATAATTTAATTAATACATTATCTTAGTAATTTCACCATCGCTTAACGGCCTATTAAGGTCCTTAGTTTGACTCTTGATTTTTTTCTAATTGGCAGGAACAGAAAACTTATCTGCTTGCATATAAAGGCAAACGGAAAGTAAACCGAACCAAGATAATATTTTACGATCTAAGGCCGTACTGTACTTCTAACCTAAGTTTTTATAGTTTTATCAAAATGCATATTACCTTAATATTTTTTTAATTACATTTTATATTTCATTATATGTTTAAGTCCTTGTGTTCATTTGAATGGAGACAAAGGGTGTAAAATATAAAAGCTTATCAGAATATTAACGAATTGCTTTTGTCTGACTTCTATAAAACTTGGAAACAGAACTTAATGAATTTTGCAATTTATAAATTTTTCCATTTAGTATTTAAATATTAGGTAGTAAGAAACGAAATATAATGATAGGGTCGAACCAATGTAAATTATAGTTCATATCAGTTTGTATGATATTTGTAGTTCGTTCATGTTTTAATTGCTTTGTTTTGTTCCATTCTTTATGTATATTTATGTAAGTAATTGTATATCTTATGTAGTACTGCACTTGTTTGAATGGAACTGCCAGATGCCCCCATTTTATTTAACTATTTTAATTGTACTGTTTTTCTTGCAACGAAATATATATAAATACATCTTAGTTATTTGTATGATGTTACGTAAGCGTAAGGTTGTATAGAAATATAACGTTGAGTTCTTATTTTCCTAATTGCGCACTTAAATCGCCATGTACTTGTCCGTAAATTTTTGCTTCAATTAGCAAAATTTTAGTAATTAAGGTAAAACAATGGTTACGACGTAATTTATCTACGGCGGAAGTAGTCACGATCTTAGGTTTATAGGTCCGAAGAATCATGTTCTTTTGTGTACGTTGTTACTTTTTCCAACATAGTTATTTAGAATCACGTTATTATTTCTGTTATTGCAATTTTATGAACAAGCTTCCACGAAGTGATAGCTAAAACCGTAAATTAAACTATCCTGCTGTTTTGTTCTAGAAATTTCTTAAAACGTGACAAGCCGACCAAAACAACGATATTTTGTTCACGCAAAACGTTTGTCCATCGTTTCATAAAAATACTAATTTATGATATATCTAATAAAATAAATAAATCAGTGGCGCTACGACCTCTTTAGGTATTGGCCTCAGATTTCTGAATCTGTTTCATGATCATTTTTAAATCTAATAGGAAAGTAGGTGATCAGCCTCCAGTGCCTGACATACGTCGTCGACTTTTTGGGTCTACGACATGTCGGTTTCCTCACGATGTTTTCCTTCATCGTTCGAGCAAATATTAAATGCGCACATAGAAAGAAAATCCATTGGTGCACAGCTGGGGATCGAACCTACGACCTCAGATATTTGAGTCGCACGCTGAAGCCACTAGGCCACCACTGCTCTATATCTAGTATATAGCCGACTATATACTATACTACTTACTACTTGTAGGTCAGACAACGTTATCGGTGGGAAGGAGTGGCAGGCAGTGGGACACTTTAGTCGTATCACGTAAAATGCTGGGTCATAAATAATTTTTCTTATGTAAACTTGATTTTATTCAAAGAATCTTTTTAATTAGTCATATAATTTTAGGTGCACTTGACGAAGCCATGATGCAGGCGCTTGAACACGACAGGTTAGATTTCGTGAAGTTGCTTCTGGAAAAATTTATCATTAAATTATAATTTAATATGATTTTTATATTTCTCAAATATGCAGTTACAACTTCCTTTTACGCCATGATATTGGGTCTTCAAAAGACGTGCCCCAGGCTCAAAAGGCTTTCTAAATAAAAAAAATATCCAGGATTAATGGGTTCACATATTGACAGTGCGGTCTTCGGGACTCCAACAATGGGCTGACGGCGCGACGTGGACTTGGGGAGTCCGTGCCTCCGGGTGGAACTAGCGACATTGTAGCTCTGAACATTTTTAGATTTTCAAGAGGGTACGACAGAGGTTTTTATTAGAGAATTTGGGTTTACTGGAGGCAATCACTTATTAGCGATTGGGCCGTTGCAGTGTTTAATTTTTTTTCGAAGTTGTATTGTGTCATAATTTTCGGTGCTCGTGTAGTTGAGAAATAAAATTAAAATATCATGACGCTACCTACCATTTCAAACTAAATAACTAATTCTGTACTTAGTTAAAACATTTTAGTTCAAGAAATGTTAAAGCAAATTTTAATTGAAGTTCTCTTGACAGCCATTGGATCAGTCTTTGTCTGACACAAAAGGTAGCGTGGCAGAGCAGGCGGAAAATATTAAACGATAGTACCGGTGACCCCAGAGCTGGTGCTTTCCTCGCTCAACGAATAAGTATGGCAATACACGGAAAAATGCTGTCAGCATTAAAGGTACGGCCACAGGGACCAAGCTTTTGTAATTTGGTTTTAGTTTTCTATTTTTAATTATGAGTACTATGTAGGGTAAAAAAATATTAAATTCTCAATTTTTATTTTTATATATGAATTAACTTACAATAAAGAATACGTAGTACATCAATATTAACATAATCATAATATTTATTTAAAATTACACCCTTACCCACTACACACACTTAACTCCTACACCCTTTTCTGTTTAAATATTGCATTAAGTCGCTTAAATAAAACGTTATAATTATATGTACCCTAATGATAATACTACCTTTAAATTGTTTAGTTGCCTATTTTTATTATTAAAATAAACGGCAATAGAGTAGCTGTGTATGTGTGTAAGTCCTATAAACAGTCAGTAGGGCAGTGGTACACATTTCTGAGTCTTCTGCTGACTTTTTTTATCATAAGCCCTCGTGATAATGTGTTCCAACACCAGAAATTATTTATTCTCTGTGAATCGATACAGGTGTGGAGGAAGGGAAGGTGTATTGTTTCGCTAATCTACGGGGAATGTTCTCGACATGTCTAACAACTGTGCGGCCCGAAAGCCCCAGTTGTTGAAGTCTAGATGTTATTCAAATGCTCAACGGAAGCACTTTAGTAGCGTGATTCAGGGTATGACGTCATTGTGGTTTTTGCCCGCAAATTGCAGGTCCTACACGGACATTATGCCTTACCAATTATCTGAAAACATGTGGCTTATATTCCGTTATTACAAACTAATTGGTCGATTTTTTCATAATTTCCTTTTTATTACTCGCTCAATTCCTTTTTGAATAGTAAAAGTTCCCTTAGTATGCAAATGCAAAGCTTAAAAGTCACTCCTGAATTGAAATTGGCCTTTCGAGGAAACGAAAGGCTGGATGGATGATACTTATTGTAAGAAATTATTTATCTAAATATCCATAACGGGTTCTGAGATCTAATCGGGAGTCTCGGGGACCTTGATTGGAACACCTCCAAGTGATTTTAGCTGCCGGAAATGCGTCAAAGTATTTTAATTTTTTTTTTTAAAGTTTTGTGATACTTTACGATTACGATTAGAATGATTTAATAAAATTACTTTCTTTAACTTAAACCTTTACATTAGACAGGCTGATACAAGTTAATTGAGATCTAAAATTATATTTATGTAACTCTGACCAAAATGAATGACATTCCGATCTTAGGATATAAATTGTCTACGTGAATGTACCAAGTACGAGTATTATGTACTCGACAGTACCTGCCGCCTCAAAATTCGTAAACCATGCTTATCAGATGTCGTGCGGTAACCTTTCATTGTACGACCTTACGGTTCATTCCAGACTCTCATTACCCTTACCCAAATCATAGTCGGCGGCTTAGGATTCCTTCTAATAAAAATATTCATATTTTTGATACATTTATGAACATACTTCGTTAAAAACTGTTTAATTAATAACCAACCACGATTGGTGTAAAAGGGCTAGAAATATTATGTAATCTTAATATATAAAACAAAGTCGATAAAAGTCGTGTCGTTTTTTTATTTGTAGTATATGTCTCAAAACATTGGAAAGTAAAGTAAAAACGAATTCAATACAAAACGTTCATAGGTTTCGTAACTGTCACGTTAGGCGGTACGAAGTTCGCCGGGTCAACTAGTTAAGACCTAATCAATATAAAATAATGTTAATATTTTAGGTACTCGCACTAGGTATTGAGAGTTTCAATGGGCGGTATGCTACTGAATCATGGAAAAAACCAGGCTGCCATCGAATCGGTAAACTATGATGTATATACATAATTTTGTACGTTTTCCGTGTTCACTGAACACTTCCCAAGCTATTTGGAAGATTTTGGTGAATTTCTTTGTGCAACCTGTGTGTATGTATTTTCATACAAGTTGAACCCTAAACAACAGTTTAGGGTTCCAATAAGAGATCAGATTTAATTCAAGACTATTTTATAGGCCATACAAGAACAATCAGTATTCCGGATTGCTTAGAGTTTAAAATCACAACGAATGCATGCCGTGGATTTTATGTTGCCTATTTTATCGACTTGCATGATTTTGTTTCATCTATTAAGTGTATGCCTATAATATATATATTAAAGATTTGATTATTTTTTAATATCCATTTTCCGCATTATGTAATGATTCCTTGGGATAGCCGAGTAAGTTTTTTGTGCGTAGACTAACCAATCATTTGAACCTTCCCTCGAGAGGATCGGGTCTCACATAGTGTTGCAGATATATATAATATGGAAAAAGTCCTTATTCAGTATATACAGTCAAGTTCCATTCTATATAAAAATCACAGTCGTTTAAAAAAACATATAAACATTTTGAAAAAATTAAGATATGTACATACAAACATATTCGGCATTTTTATATATAGAAAGCATTTGCATAACTAAAAAACAAATAACCATAAAAATTTATTTTTAGTGCCATAAATTAATATTCATAGAATATTACACAATGAAAATCTGTCAATTTCTACACACTTATATAAGCTGTGTATAATTAATGTTCTAACAAGATTGCTAATGTCTCATTTTGTGTAATTTATGTACTAAAAATGCGTTAAGAATGGAGTTTGTTGGACTTCCTATGAAGAATATCCATCTTTATAAGTATGTACCAATTTCAATAATACAATTTATATTTGAGAAAGCTTCTGGTACTGCACATCTTTTTAGGCCGAATCGTAATAAAGTTACTAAAACGTAGTAAAAACTCACTTTATTGTGACATTTATAGCTGTTAGATAATAGGTGGAGTGACACAGACAAGAGAAATGGCAATAAAACTGGATCGCTTTTGTTTCGGGAAACGGAGCTTGTTTATCTTACTTCTTTTGAAACTAATATGCATGTTTTAAAAATTATACGCGTGTAACGTGTGTCTGGTGCAGTATTCACGGAATTAAAAACGGCTAGGATTTTTGTTTTTCTGTTTTTTTAATCTTTTTCACATATTTAATTTGGTAACAGTTTTGAATGTCGTCGCATTTATTTGATGATACTAACTATGCAGGAGTCTCGGGGGACCTTCATTGGAACACCTCCAAGTGATTTTTGTTCCAGGAAACGCGTCTAAGTATTTTTAATAAAAATTTAAAGTTTTGTGAAATGTATTGAAATTTGTAAACAATCCGCCATTTTCTACTTTTCTATAGGTTATAAGAGATGTGACATTCACTTTAAAAAATCGTTTTTTAATTAATCGATTGTTAATAATCGTTTTTTAAGTAACGGATTTCTAACGGATATTCTGCACTGTAAGACTGTTCACACACTGTTCTAGCAAAATCCACATTCGAAATGGCCGTTTGCGAATTGCGTTTATAAAATTAATAGGGATGTGAAAAATAATCGATTTCTTTAAAAGTGAAAATCGATTTTTGTATTCGATTTTAATATTAAAAATAATTGAAAATCAATCATAGTTGATCAGTTTCAGTTGAACAGTTATTTTAAAAATAAATATTCATATACTAACCTAACCTAACCGATCTAAATAATATTTGTTTTTTTGGACAGCTCCGATCTAAATAATAATTGTTTATTCAAGCCTCCCCAACCCGGCTTCTTGGTCGCCTTCGGCGACCAAATATTCATATACTAACCTAACCTAACCGATCTAAATAATATTTGTTTTTTTGAACAGCTCCGATCTAAATAATAATTGTTTATTCAAGCCCCCCCAACCCGGCTTCTTGGTCGCCTTCGGCGACCAAATATTCATATACTAACCTAACCTAACCGATCTAAATAATAATTGTTTATTCAAGCCCCCCCAACCCGGCTTCTTGGTCGCCTTCGGCGACCAAATATTCATATACTAACCTAACCTAACCGATCTAAATAATATTTGTTTTTTTGGACAGCTCCGATCTAAATAATAATTGTTTATTCAAGCCTCCCCAACCCGGCTTCTTGGTCGCCTTCGGCGACCAAATATTCATATACTAACCTAACCTAACCGATCTAAATAATATTTGTTTTTTTGAACAGCTCCGATCTAAATAATAATTGTTTATTCAAGCCCCCCAACCCGGCTTCTTGGTCGCCTTCGGCGACCAAATATTCATATACTAACCTAACCTAACCGATCTAAATAATAATTGTTTATTCAAGCCCCCCCAACCCGGCTTCTTGGTCGCCTTCGGCGACCAAATATTCATATACTAACCTAACCTAACCGATCTAAATAATATTTGTTTTTTTGGACAGCTCTGGCGCTACGGGAAATGCAGCCCCTCCACCCTTACGTACTAAAGCACAGGCATTATATATCCTCCGCGCCTCCGATTATTTATATACACTCTAGGGGTAAGACAGACAAGACCACGTAGATAGTGGGGTGCTCTGATTCGGTTTTGGGTACTTTTTGGATATTAAAGTAAACACTTTATTCTAGTAAAAATTAAATAATATAGA